GCTGCGATCTGCGAAACTGTCGCCACTTCCGAAGGCTGCTGGTGGGTCCTGCGGAGTGAGGCACCGCGCGGACCTGAGCGGGACCTCGCCGTCCCTGGGGGGGCTGCGATCAGCGAAACTGTCGCCACTTCGAGGGCTGCTGGTGGGTCCTGCGGAGTGAGGCACCGCGCGGACCTGAGCGGGACCTCGCCGTCCCTGGGGGGCTGCGATCTGCGAAACTGCCGCCACTTTCGAGGGCTGCTGGTGGGTCCAGCGGAGCGAGGCACCAGGCAGATCTGAGCGGGACATCGCAATCCTTGGGGGGCTGCGAGCCTCACGAATGCCGCTCGCAGAAGTACATGCGCTCATGTCACGTCATCACCTCCGTATAACGACTCCCAATATACTCATGCCCCGCATTGCGCAGGGGTTGGGTACGTCGCCAGGGTAATTTCCATATCTTCTGGGTTTCTGTCTCCCCCCCACTTCCCATATGTTCCCATATTTTCCTGGGAGTCGACGATTAATTGTGTCTGTGTGTTTCTTTCCCTCCAGACTTTCGCGCGCAGAGGGGAGGGAAGGGGGAGAGAGGAGCCCCTCGAGGGGCAGGGGGGGAGAAGGGAGGAGCTGCCGCGCGCAGAGGGGGACGACGCCCTCGAGGTCTTCGGAGGAGGGCGGCCGCGGAAACGCACGAGCAGCTGCTGACGCTACTGTTCGCGGCAGAGGGGGGAGAGGAGGGAGCTGTCGCGCGCAGCGGGGTACGACGCCCTCGAGTCTGCGGAGGAGGGCGGCCGCGGAAGCGCACGAGCAGCTCCTGACACTACTGTTCGCGGTAGAGGGGGGAAAAGGAGAGGAGCTGTCGCGCGCAGAGGGGTACGGCGCCCTCGAGGTCTTCGGAGGAGGGCAGCCGCGGAAGCACACGAGCAGCTCTTGACACTGCTGTTCGCGGTGTAGCGCCCGCGACCCTCCCCTCCCCCGCCCACGCCCCTGGCCACGTCACGATTCGCGCCGGCGCCGTCTGGGAAGGAGTCACTCCTAAGCATGCCCAGACGTCGCTGGCGTGAATCGTGACGTGGCCGGCCCCCTCCCCCCCTCCATTCCCCCCGGGCCACGCCCGTCATCGCCAGGGGATGACGGGACAGCACAGGGACAAAATCGGACCAGGATAAACCGGGGGTCTCTGAGATCCAGCGGTTCCGGAGGATGTATCGGGCGCCGCGGCCGTTCAAGTGCAAGAGGGCTCCAGGACGCTCTGAGAGCGTTCGGGAGCGCTCGGGAGCGATTCATCCTGGTCCTCCGCCCTGCTCGAAAGCAGTTGGCGGTGCCACTGCTGTCAACCACGTGACACGGGGGGAAACGGGTCCTGGGCCCCGGGAAATCCCCCCGGGACCCACCACTCGTGCGCACCCCGAGTCGTGCTCGGACCGTGCCAGGGCCCGTGGAGGGCCCAGGGAGCCCGAGAACGGCGAGACACCACAGGGCCCGTTTCTCTCGGGACCCGCGCTAAAACAGGGCTATAGGATCGGGATAAATCGCTCCAGAGCGTTCCGGAGCGCTCTCAGAGCGTTCCGGAACGCTCTGGGGCGGCCGCGGCGCCCAACACATCCTCCAAACCCGCCGATTCTCAGAGAGCTCGAGTTATCCCGATCCGATTTTGTCCCGATCTTCGCGTCGTTTTACGCGCCCCCCACGGCGAGTCCACCACTCGTTCAGCCATCGGCGCCGGGCTTTCGAGGGCGAGCCTCCAAGAACAGCTTCCGAGAAGCAACCACAAGCTTCGTAGAAGGGGCGCCCACGTCTTCTAGGAAGCAGGGTGCTTCTAAGAGACCTTCCCCCCTCCCCCTGCGCCCCTGCTGCGCGTGGCCGAGATACATCGGATCTCTGGGGAGGAGGTTGCGTTCGTTCCAGCGCTCCCTTGGGAGGGAGAGGGGAGACGACTGGGAGATCGCAAGCACGTGGCGGTCAACACACGCCTCGGCAGACACAGATGGGGAGCGGCAGGTGGGCGCACAAAGGACATGCTGGCACCGCGTGTCCTCAGCGGAGGCGCGCGTCCGACCAGAACATATACGTAGCACAATCATCTCGTAGTATGTCGTTTCCCGAGCGGCACGACCAGAACTTGCCCCCCACAGGGCGTACGTATACCAGAAGATTTCTCGGCGCGCGCGCGTCAGACCCAGATCCAGACCCCCGAGGTCGTGATTTGTTTATGACGCGACTCCCAGAGGTCCGGACACATTCCCTGGGACCGGTTTTTCATCCTGAGTCGTTTTTTGACGGCCCCGGACCCCCGACGTCATGATTTGTTTATGATGCGACCCTAGGTCTGGACGCATTCCCCAGGACCAGTTTCTCATCCTGAGTCGTTTTTGGACGGTCCCGAGGCCCAGTGATGGTCCCCGGAAGCCGAAAATAGTGAAAACCTCCCGTCGTAATTTTCACAACGCAAGGGTCTGGGGACGAAGGCACGATCAAGGACAATATCGGAGAAAGAGAATTTGGATGCCTCTGAGGGCCA